TTGGGTATTGAGGTGACATCATAAGAATTGCGTATTCTCAAATGGTGAATTGTTGTTGAGTTTTAGTTGTCCCATATTGATGAATAGTTAAATTTTTTGAACAAAGTAAGGTGTATAAGAAACCAACTAAATGGTAAAAATTGTAGTGCAAATATAAAAGTGAAACCAATGATGATAATTTGACAACATGAGGTAATTATTTATCTGTCATCTTGATGTTAATACTATCACGGTTTGACACACCCCTCTAATTACAATTCAAATATTATATCTAATATGTGGATCATCGACCCCACTTGATATTAATTTTATTTTTTATCAGAAAAATCCATTTTCTTAGCTTGATGATGTGGTTCTTCATGCATCGTATTGGACTTCCACTATTGTTGCTACAACTTACGCACTCTTTTAATTTTCACTAGAAATATTATAGAACGTTTCCTTGTCGTAACTTCAAAAATGAGATTTCAATTAAATTTGTTATAAAATTAAATCGTGATTTTGTCACCTTAGATGAGATTTCAATTAAAATTGTGACTTCTAATTAGACAAACTACTAACATTAGTCAAACATTTGTAGAGTATTTTGCAACACGATTCTCAAGCATAGTTAGATAACTTAAATTAGCATATGGTTCTAAGATTGTTGTCAAATCCTCTTAAAAAATTTTAATGTTAATGAGTAGTTGTCACTCACATTTGTCTAAATTTTTTTAGAATAGTACTTCAAATTTAGTCTATCACATTTCTTTTGAAGATGATATTATCGCTACCGCACAACGCGCGATTAGAAAACTAGTTAATAATAAATGTTTGTACTCAACTGTATTGTTTCGTGAAGGTCTCTTTCATACTTTAAATCCGTGGGTTGGCTTTACTAAAAGGCAAATGAGATAAAAACGAATCAATTTAATTCACCTCTCAAATATTTCTGATATAATATTTTAATTGTTTATGTACACATAATTTCAACATGAGATTTCATTTGATAATCTTTAGAATTCTTTATCTTATGTGTTATTTTATATGATTTTTTTTCTATCTACAACTTAGATTTAGTGTATTGATTAATACATAGTTGTTTCCTAATGTATTTGTTTTATAAAATGATTTTGATGTGTTTGTGAAACAAAAAATACAACTAATACGTCTTTAAAAAAACAAAAAAGTTTCACATTGTGACCGAATTCATATGAAACAAACAAATTGTGAAATAAATATATGTTGATCGATGTATTAAGTTTTGGACTTAATGGAAAAAATAATGTTAAACAATATTTTGCGATAATAGTTATCCCAGTTATCACGATATATGAGGGTTCTCAAATGATTAAACCCTGTTTTAATATTGAATTATACAGATGTGAGTTTGTGTGAAAATAACAGTAATAACGAACACCAAGGGTTCTTGGTCTAGCGGTATTCTAGTCTTTTGGCTTTTTACGAAGTCAGGGTTCAAACCTCACAAAAAGTAAAGAGGATATGTGAGTTTATTTGTTGTATTTGCCATATATAAATATTATATATTAAAAAAACAATAATAATGAAAATGGAATAAGTTTTTAGAATCTTTAAAATGAGATTTTTTTTTAAATTCAACTTCATTTTCTTTTCACTATCTTTATTGGGGTTTTTCTATAGGCTAGAAACCAACTCCACGTATGTAGGATACGTCTTCATCTATTTATGGTTTATAATTACGAGTACGGGAATCATGTGTTGCACAGTAACATAAGTACTTTGATTAATGATTTGAAAATTGTCTATATAAATATATGTTAATTGTTAATAAAATCATCAACAAATAGTATTCAAATAATTCGAAAAAGTTAATAAAATCTAGTTAGTGAATTTTTGATATATATATATATATAGAGAGAGAGAGAGAGAGAGAGAGAGAGAGATAACGTTTCAAATGCAACTCATCACATTTGTACAACCAATGCAACCCAATCAATTGAATCATTTATGCAAATGATGAGAGTTCATTTATTATGATTTCAATATTTATGAAAGATGACCAGGGTTAATTAATTATGATTAATACTTTATATTAGAAAACAATCTAAACTGTTATTAAATCACATATTCATCAAATTAAATGAACGATTGAGATTGAGTTATATTGGTTGTACAAATGTAAAGGATTGCATAATAACTCAACTCTCTCTCTCTCTCTATATATATATATATAGAGAGAGAGAGAGAGAGAGAGAAAGAGATATTTATTTAGAAATAAAGTTGTAAAATTAAATAAAATAATTAATAGTAACGACGGGGTTGTGGATAATTTATGCACTGTTTGATTGATGATAAAGGTTTTTTTTCCTTTTTAAAAAGAGATTGATACATATGCCGATTTTTATTAAGAAATAAATAAGTGTACGTCTAAATCGCAAGGTAAAGAATTATATGTATAAAAAATGTGGTAAATAAAAAGTTAATTTATAAATAATATGAAAAGATATTAACCGATCATTAATACATATAAATTACGATAGTAAACAATTCATTGACGAATGGTGTATACAAATAATGTAAATAAATACTTCATTCGTCCCAAATAAGTGTCCTTGTTTCTACTTTAATTTGTCGCAAAGTAAATGTCCAATTTCAAAAAGTAATGTCTACTTTCTAATTCTACTCTTAATTATAAAATAGAGATTTTATTAGTATCTAAATAGTGAATGATAAATTGTCATTAGTTAATTAATATGTGTAATGATTACACATATATAAAATTGTGGATATGCATTTTGGGACTTAAACATTTATTAATACAAATTTCAAAGTACAAATCAATAAATAAATGTTATTTACCATCATTAATATTCTAATTATTATATATATATATATATATATATATATATTAAATGGAGAGAGATGGTACATTTTATAAGTTCGAAATCAATGTGAATCAATTAATATTATTTATCATCACTAAATTTTAAAATGAAGAAAGAAAGAAAAAGATTGATATAACATAAATTAAAAAAGTAAAATAAATTGATTTATATATATATATATGAATGATTGTAATAAGTTTTTCTAGATTTATATATTAAAAAGTTTATATATATATATATGTATATATATATATAATATTTAATTTAACAAAAATGAATTCTTTTAGCAATTATATATATATATATATATATATATATATATAAATGTGTGTGTGTTTACGAGAGATGATAATCAAATGAGAACCACAAAAGAAATTACAAATTTGTAATAATTGATATAAAAAATAATTTTTGCATTATGTTTTTTCATCAAAACTATGATTTAAGATATCATTTTACATGTTTTTGTGTTCACTTTATGAAAAAAAATTATATGTGTTTTTTTTTTTGTTCACTTACACCATCTCCAAACGACACTATAATGTTTTTTTTTTATCAAACTTTATGATTTATCATCTCCTCCTTATATACTGGTAATATTTTTCAAACTTTTTTTTTCTCTATCAATGTGAGATAATCAACTCAACATTACAATTAAATATTTGAGAAACTTTTTGAAAAAATATAGTGGCTAAATGTCAAATAAATTTCAATTCGGCATCTTCTTATTATATACTCATACTATTTGTGAATCTATTTTAAAAACATATTTTTTTACCACTAAGATGATGAAGCAAAAGCAAATCACATTGAGAATGATGAGTCCTCAAGGAAGATGTTTGTAACGTTTTAAACGAATCACATATCGTCAATTACAAATAATATTCTAACAAGGTCTGACGAAGAAAGTTACAAATTTAAGTTGAAGAGTTTATAACAGTTTATCTGATATAGAAAAGTACAATGGTGATCTCCTTTGAACATCTTCAACAAGTTCTACAGAATGAAAAAAAATGAAAATTTGGCTTCAACAGGTTCTCCAAAATGAGAAAACGAGAAGAGAGTGAAATTTGAAGAGCTTCTCAAAAATAATTATCATTATGGTAAAACAGTTTTTATATATTCCGTTAATATTAAATATTTACGAGAGAAAAATAATATTTTATTAGTATGTGAATTTTTTTAATAATATAAGAACAAATTCTCTATAATTTTTCTAAAATAAAGAATCAAATGTAAAAATCCATAAAAGAATCATATTTAACTTTCATCTTTATTTTCGAGATTTCAATATTTATTATATTATTAAAATGCTCTATAAATTTATTATTTCATTAGAATTTATATAAAACTAGTTGTGTACCCTCGTAATACGACGAGAACTATGAATTTTAACGATTTTGAAGTTTCACTGGTTTTATTAGAGAATATTTAACGATAATATGAGTTACACTTGTTCTTTACATATTAATACAATTTGAATAAATAAGAGTTATGATAAGAGTTATGATTTCAATTAAGTCTATCGATGAAAAAATTTGTATGATAATTTAAAATTCAAGAGATTTAAAATACAACATATTTAAACGACTGCACAAATGTGTTCGATTTACACCAAGAGTAAAGAATCAAGAGATCGAGAGCAAAACCGAGAGTTCTAGAACAATTGAATGAGAGATGAATAAGAGAACTTTTAATAACTCATGGTGAATATCAATATGAATCTCACATTGGGGGGTAGGGAGAAGACATAGAGGTATGAGAGGGTAAAAGACATGAGTGAAATGTGTTAAAAGTATCTTAGAAACATGATAAAAAAAGTAATAATGTGTATTGGTAATTTGTAATATATGTTATTTTAATTGTAGATTAAAAGATTTTTTAAGACTGAATGCATAAATTAGTAGTACTTTAACGTATTATGAGTTATTTTTAAGAATTTGTGTATAAATGTATAGTACTTTATGCATTAAAAATTGTTTTTAGAACTTTTGATAAATCTAATTTATAAGATAATATAGATAATAATAATTCAATTTCACTGACCTAAGAATCGGTTTTTGGGGACCCCTGGCTCCCACTAATGTAATAATCTCGTAAAAAGGAAGGATTATATTTGAAGACTTAAAACTTCAATTATCTATTGCGAAGAAATTTGAAAAATCTCGTAAGGCGCAATTCTTTTAAGCTAAAATTTACAGGCAGGCAACAACTTATGATTTTCCATGGTAGTTCTGTAAATTTTGGAAACCATTCGTAGGAGGAAGGTGAATCATCAAGAGTTTCTGAGGTATGATGTTCTATCTTTGATCATTACTAAAACTATGTCTACATATTCTCCATGTCCATTTCTGTAACATCAAAAAATCAAAGAACTTCACAATATATATCTCTCTAATTAACGGATTAGCCATAATTATCAACTCATGTCACTGCGCTGGCAATGATTCCGGCCGCCTAGACAGATCGGACGATCCGAAACCTAGATCTGTATAATCAAACAATCCGTCTAACGCCACGTATTCACCGTTGTGGTTGTTGTTAAAATTAACATCCTCGGCCGCGTAATCAAATCCGTATTCGAACGAGTCATAGTTCGGAATCTGATCGTCTAACCAACAAAACTCACCGACTTCAACCGACTCGGTCGAGACTGGTATCCTTTCCGAATCATTTGGTGTTGTCCCCGTAGGAGGCAGTCCGAGTTCGTCATCCGACGCCTCGAATAGAAACTCGAGATCCGGTCGCGACTCACCGGACTCGGAGGCCAGGTCGACTGTCTCCGGCGGAGGAGATATTTCGTCTTGAAAACTCTTTATGAACGAGTCAAGGTCTTGACCGACCGTACACACATCCGAGTCGTCTAGAGTATCGAGAAGGTCATCTCGGATTCTCTTTGCCTCAGGCGAGTTAAACTCGGACTCGTCCGAGTCAGAACGGACTCGCTTCTTGTTACTCAATGATTCCATTTTTGAAGAAACCAATATGTTATAGGGGTGTTTTAGGAATTTAATAGTGGGGGGCAACGGTGGTAGAAAGTGGGAAGGAGGCGCGGGGGTTTATATAGGGACAGAGAAAGTTGGAATAAATTTTAATTTTATTTTGTTTTTATTTTTATTTTTGATTTAATATTTTTATGATGTGGACGTGAAAGGAGCGTGGGGACAGGTAATTTCGCCATCACGGACGTATTAACTTTTTCTACCGAAATAAAATTAATATTTTTTGATGAAATTATTTTTTATTGATTTTTTAATAATAAAAAATTCTTCTCTCCTTAAAATAAATAGACAATAAATGTTGTATTTATTTTAAAGTCTTGTTAAAAGAATATTTGGTGAATCAAATTAAATATATCTTGATTTTAATGTTTTGTTTTATTTTTTTGTCTATATTATAAATGATTTTATGTGTTGTTGAGAAAACGACAATGTTTTTATTTTTTAATAAAATGTAAATTTGAGCATATCATAAAATTTTGAAAAAAATATATCAATATTAGTATTAAATTAGCTGTTTAAAAGTTTTCATTTTTGTGTAATTTATTTAATTCAAATTTTTATTATAACTTACTTAGGTTGAATAACAAATTTATTTATTTTTGGTTTAATAGTATAATTTTTTATACATATAATAATTAAGTATTTTATTAGAACTCAATTATTATCTCAATTATATTTTAAATTTTTTATATTTAAAATGAGATTTTATCATATATTTGATTATGTTTATATTTAAAATAAGATGTTTAGCCGGTGTTTGATTATATTTATCTGCATTTAGTAACACAAACTCAAAAATGAAGTTCTGATAAGTTGTACTTATGCATAATTTATTTGTAATATTAAATTTTAAATAATATATATTAATAAAAAGTAATTCATGCATAAAAAATAATTTTTAATAGTTTTTATTAAATATTTTATAATATTAAATAGATTAATTTTTAAAACTTTTCGTTTAAATAGGAGTATACTTAGTTGTCATCTTAAAAATATATGAATGACCAAACACAACTAATTTGATCCTAAAAATCTCTAACTCATTTTCAAGGGTTAAAAATGGATATTTATATTTCATCCCAATTAACTCGTGACCAAACTAATGTTTTGAAAATAAAGAAAAGTAAATTCATATTCTGTATTTTAATAAAATAATAATAATTCATTTTCATCAATGAAAATTAATAAAAAATCATTTTTTAATGCCCCATAACACATATTGTATGTAACACATATTTTATACAAAAAAAATACATGTTTATATCACATTCAGGTCCTTTAGTACAAGAAATCTCTATACAGAATACAAGGTTCAAAACTTCAAATACATTTTTTGCACTAATCAACGTTCAATAATCAAAATTGTACATCAAAGATAGATCTTCCCGTAAAAATGCATATAGGAGAATATTACATTTTCCCCTTCCCCTTACCGTCGGTACCTCCTGCAATACATAGTTAAAATCACAAAACGAGGGTTAGACCAAAAGGTCTAGTGAGATACCTTATTTATGTTATTGCAGGTTGAAAATCACCAAAAACTTTTATGGTAAACAACTATTCATAAATATATAACAAATATATGTACAAATAGAGACATAATACCAGATTCTTTCCACTTTTCAAGCTAAGCACTCAGCTATTCAGATCTCATACTTTTGAACCAATCAGGTTTCATATAATGCCATTTTTAAACATTTTTCTAACCAGATAAGGTTTATATAAAGTTTCAGGCCAAACCTGTTATTTTCTTCTCAATAACACCCAGACTATGATTTCCAGTAAGAACTTTGATCCTAAATCTTTAAATCACAAAGAAATAAAGATTTCAAACTACGGTAATCTTAAGAGATATAATAGAAGGAGTTATATTATACAACACACATACAAATGTCACCCTTATATCAAATGTACACCTCTTCTTGATATGTCACTCTTATCCTATGGTACACCTCTCCTTGATATGTCACCTTTATCCCATGGTACACCTCTCCTTGATATGCCAGCCTTATTTCTTCATCAAAACTTTTCGCAAAAACAATTTCAAATAGACCGCAACCAATGAAATTATTATTAATCCAAAATCATTTATATCAAGTTTCCATTTTATGATAAAATAATAATTTTCATCAATCAAGCACAAGGCATAGAACAAATACGGTCAACATAGGCTTAACCGGACTTCATCTCCGGTCAAGTCTTAACCGGACTTCATCTCCGGTCAAGTCTTAACCGGTTTACCAAATCCGGACAATTCATCGCCCAAGGCTTGTCCGATTTAACACTTAGATTAAATTTTAGCATCTTCGTTCGGATAACAAGTCCGGACAATACATCGCCTAAGACTTATCCGATTTAAAACAATCCGGTCACCACATGGTCGTATTCATATTTCTTCGTTCAAAATATTTACCACATTTATCATTCATAACTCACTCAGTGCTTAACCGGTTTAAAACTAAACCGGTTAACACTTGTTCGGTTTAGGGTTTAACCTCCCAACCCTTGTTCGATTTAAGAATAATCCGGTCACCCTTTGTCCGGATAAAACTCTTAAACAAATAACCGATTTCTTTCCAAACTAAACAACATTCAAATAAAACCAGTAACAAGTTTTATGCAAAAGGTTTAGAAATCATTCAACTTGAAAAAAAAACCTTTTGAAATCAGATACTTGAAATCAACCAGATATTGAATCCGGTCAACTTAAATCGCACAAACACTTCTCACAAATAGCAGCAGAAAATGCAAATAGAGGTTGAATTCTCCTTTTATACCTTTCCAAAACAGGAAAGGTCGGCCACATGAATACACACACACACACACCATGCACTTCATAACATGCATGTGTATGTATCTATATATACACATAATTACCTACATGCATCTATATTATGCACATAATTTTCACATACTAACATGATCAAATATAACAAATTTATTATGCAATCACTTAATCACTTATCAAATAATCACATATTACTTACCTTGGGTGATAACCATGATCCGGTTATCACAATTTTCCCATCAAGTTTAAAAAAAAATATGTTAAAGTAAAATAAAGAACAGATTTCTCATTTTTTTTATTTTAGATAATTAACTGGAGATGTTTTTATATATTCATATAGAAATTAAAATAATATTTATCCTCGTTTTCATATTGAGTTTTAAAAAAATTCTCCAAATAATGAAATAAAAAAAATTAAAAATGTTTGTTAAAACAAAACAATCATTAAAATAATGAAATAAAAAAAATTGTTGAAGACATTCCGGTTCTCTTGTTTTTTTAATGTCTATATATTTACAAATAAATAAAATGGAAAAAGGTTGCTGGTTTTGAAAGGCAATAAATAAAAGTGGATTGAAATATGGGTTTGAGGTCCGGAGGAATTTGTGTACTTTGATGCCATATCTTGACATTGGCTTTTACTTTTCCCTATGTTTCATTCTGGACGTTAGACATTGACTTTTCTTTGCCTACTCCCTTTCTCACCCTACTTTATGATTTCCAACTAATTTTTATTTTCTTATAACGCTTACAATTAAATGATGAGTGTCTATTTATTATCAATAGTTATTATTTGATTGATTATAACTATTTTTAATTAAAAAAATTAAAACATAAATGATGCATATATAAGTTGCATCGATTATATAATCTAAAAAGGTTATATTTAAACATCTCTCTACATACATATTAATCTAAGTGTAATCTCTTATCTTTTTCATGTTTTCCATCAAATAAACGTTTTTGTTTACCAAAAACGAGGTCGTTTCTTCTATAGATTATTAAAAAAAACTAGTTTTATGAGATCTACCTCCAATATTTTCTTTTGGGAAAATTACACCAAAATGGAATCAACTTTCACCTGATTCATATTTTAGGGAACCAACTTTTAAAATCGTCATTTATGGGTCTCTATCAAACTTTTTATTTATTTAAGAGTTTAGTTGATCTGTTGAACAAGTAACATGTAATTTAAGGGTCTCTATCAAACTTTTNGTTTAGTTGATCTGTTGAACAAGTAACATGTAATTTAAGGGTCTCTATCAAACTTTTCGTTTGATTTGCCAAATTTGATTTAAACTTTAATATTGATACGGATTGGTTAGATATAAAAATCTTGAATGTGATATTTAATATTTATTTTTTATTGCATCAATTAATTTTTTTCTATTAAATTGATTTTTTATTGCATTAGCAAAAAAACAATTTTTATTGTGGTAATTTGGATTTTTTTTTGAAAAAATCTTCAATTTGATATTTGAATTAAAAAAAACGAGATTTGAAATGAAAAATAGATTTTATTGCACTAATTTTTGAAAAAAAAAAACGAATTTTAGTTATTTTTCTATAATTATTTTGCAAATTGGTTTCTCAAAATAGGAATCAGATGCAAGTTGGTTCTCCAAAATGACGATTTTGAAAGTTAGTTTCCTAAAATAAGAATCAAGTGAAAGTTGGTTCCATTTTGATCCAATTTTCTCTTTAAAATATTATATACATTTATTATTTAAAAAGAAGTTTTATAAAATACTTTCTCTGATGCAAAATAATTGTTCAGAATATAAATGACATACAATTTTAATAATATGTAATTTCAATGAAGTAAATGACATTTTTACCCTTGGAGAGATAAATGTTTTCAATCTTATAACTAAGGATATAAAGAGAAAATGAACACCTATTTCTGCGTTCTATTTAATTATTCACCTTGTATTTTTATACAACGAATTTTGTACTTTTCTTTTAACTTTGAAATCATTTAATTTAACACTTAGGTGCCGTTTACCTAACGCTTACTCGGGTAAACATTTACCAAGTCACTTTATTTTAGTGGATGAATATGACAAGAACTAAAAATCTTACCCGGTAAGAGCGAAGGCAAGAATTGAGAGTCTTACCCGGTAAGTGAAGACGATGATTCTTACCATGGTTAGCGCTTACCGGGATAAATTGTTGCATACGATTCGTTTTATGAATAAAATCTTACCCGGTAAGTAAGCGATAATGT